TGACATGTAGTTGTGGTGTTGCTCCCGCATGGCGCTACGTAGGGGACCTTAGAGCTTGGGCAATTGTTGGCGCCCGCTGGCTGTCGCCTTCCTGCTCGTCCGTGGTTCCTCCTCGTGCTCCCCACCTCTCTCGGAAGCGCCTAGGCCGGAGTGGAAGGGTAGGCAGACAGCACCCTCGAGAGCAGAGGGGTCGGCGAAACCTTGCGGTGAAGAATCCGCAGGCTGTGCCTCCTTAAGGACTGCAGTGCAGCTCCTGAAATTTCCGAAAGAAATGGCTCTTCTTAAATTTCGATTTAAAGCTTTCGTGACCGCAAGGATTCATCTTCTTCGGTTCGTTCAGTAAAGTCACGTGGAATGAGAATAAAATAATAAATTAATAAAATAAAATAGCACAATTAAAATTCTCACTATTGTGTTATTTTATTTTATTAATTTATTATTATTTTATTCTCATTCTACGTGACTTTACCGAAAGAACCAAAGAAGATGGCTCTTCTTGTTCTATTGATTGCCGACTCCCCTGACCATGGAAGTTCAGTTTGCTCCCCGGGCAGGGGTCGGCAGATCTGGCGCTTCCTGAGCCGCATGCGGCTCATTAAGGACTGCTTCGTGACGTCACTTATTAAGGGCTCACCGTCTTGTATCCACGTGATCTCGACGGTGCCCTCTGCTGCTGCAGCACGACCAGTACTGGATTAAGCCAGTGCGGGGCCTGCAGCATATGTTATAAAGGGACCCTAAATAAAAAGAAAAATATTAAAACGCATGTATTTTTAAATTTGCATAGTAAAGTAGTTGTATTTTTTCCATTTGCTATACAGCCGGATAATACGACAAATCGCTAACCTTAAACACTCAGTCCTTCATAAAAGTTAAAGGCGGTATGGCACTACAGTAGTAATAGAGCACGTGCAGAATCACTGAACCGGAATTGATAGCTTGAAAGCATTTAGCGCGGGGCCCTTGTAAGTGCGGGGCCCGTAGCTACTAGATATGTAGCAGCTACTACTACACATGTAGTAGCTGCTACATATGTAGCGACTTGTGCTACGAGGATAATCCGGCACTGAGCTCGCCCACGCGGGCTAATTGGCAGGCAGCCGTCTTCATGCGGTGCATTGTGGGTGGTCGGTTGACCGTGCGGTCCGTGCGAGGCGATTTCGCTCTGTGCGCCCTTCCTTTTTTTTTGGAATGCATCTACTAGGGGGGGGGGGGGACTTGTGCCTGCGTTCCACGTGGGCACAAGTTTATTTATTTATTTGAGATGTTTTCTTGTTCATGTTTTTTGTTTGTTGCGGTTGCACCCGATTCAAGAGCCGAATGGCTCACAGGGCTATACCAAATAAATGGCACTAAACTAAATAAATGGAACTAAGGTGTTTTGAACGCGATGAAATAAAAATACGTATCGCGAGTCACAATGGGGAGACGCAAAAACCCTTCAACGTTGCTTTCGCACACTTGTTTAAAAAAAAATCCATTTGTGCCATTTATAGCTGCAATGATCGCAGCGCTTCTAATTACGCTCATAACTTATGCAGGCAAATATTAAATACACCAGTGGCATCGTCTTGTTCTCACTTAGTGCCCCAGAACATCAATGATTTAAAAAGTACCGATGGATGGCTTACAATGGGAATCTACATCATTTTTGAGACAGACGATGCAGAGACTCAAAAGTTAAAACATTACAAGTTTACAATTATGTAACTCGTTGCACAGTTTGACATGAGATTATTAGGTCTGGGAGGGCAGCCAGAACCAGCATTGCCAACAATTGCCCAAGGTCTGTGACCCTATATTTGTATGTTTGGCGAATGGGGCTAATGGGTGTTTATACGCGCGCCAGCGTTAGGCTTACGCTTAATCCTCGTACCGATGGACACAGATTGGGGTTAAATACACTTGCTCTACTGCCTGCTCCTGGTGAGCCAGGGTATGGCACCTCATCGACGCCCACGGGCAATTTCAGAACGTCTGTGTGATCCGCTGGGTTCCAGGCCAAGTGCATAGCCACCACTGCCCGGCTATAGTCAAGCAACTAACCGCATGACGTCTGGGGTTTAACCGTGGTGTGAGTTGAATGAATGCATGTATATGTTTAGACGAATATTGGTTTCAATTTACAAGCATGTAGGATTTCGCGGTTGTGCTGTACGGCTCTCCGTACAGCACAACCAGGTGTGTGGGGGGTTCTTTGTCTTTGAGTCTTTGTCTCTGACTGTGTGTGTGCGTGCACCTAGCCTGGCATAAGTACTGTGGTGACGCCACCGCCACTTTAGTGGTGAACGGCGGTTGATGTTATTGTTAGTATGTGGGTGTGAGTGTGTCTCTGTGTGTAAGTATTTACGTGCGGAAGCAATAATACATCGGCAGTTTGTGCACGTGACTAATGTATGTATATGGCTGTGTGAGGTAGAGGAGGGTGTACCGCACAACGTTGACATTGTACTCACACAGCGATCTGACCCCAAACTCACGCATGAATTACGACGTTCCTCTTGCCAGTGGGCCGATTCATTAAAAATATTTGTTGGATTTTCATCAGTTCCTTTGTTGAGAAGTTCATTATCATCATCAGCATCATCATCACGATCTATGGGCAGATAGCCCCGTGATTTCGTCAATTGTTTCCACTTTAATCTGCCTCGTGCCAGTATGCTCAAGTGGTGCGACATCTTTCCGGCATCAATCTCTTCTTATGCCGTCGTGAAGCCGTTCTTTGGAGAAATTAGGGACTGGAAAAATTTAACATATTAAGAGAGTTAAATATTACATCGAATATTCCAGCCATTCTCAAATCATCGCACGTGAAAGCTTCACATAGACCGTGGGGGTTTTTGACCATACTTCACCATAGTGAGCACACCCCCCCCCCCCTCCATATCACTTACCCACTGGTGTTAGCCATAGCCAGAAATCGAACTCGGCTCGCTGAGTTCATAGCGCAGCGTGCTAACCACCGTGCCACCAGTCCACCCCAGATATCTAAGAGCAACAAATATATTCATACAAACACAATAATTGCAAGCACCGTTGAGTAAATTGCTGATAATTACACGCACAAATAATAACACACACCACGCTGGGAGTCCTGCCTCCAATTCCACGTGTAAGAGCATACATTGATTTTATAATGAAAGACACTCTATCCCACGGTGTTATTTGCCATTCACGGCACATGCACAGTCACCACTAGAGAGTAACGGGAATTTGCCAATGTACCAATGAAGAATTGTTTTGGTCTGAATGGAAATATATTTATATATACTAGAAAAGTTGAATAAGTTGGGCGATTGTCGATATCAGCACGTGGACCAAATGCACTTGCCACAACACTCATGATAAAAAAATCTAGCGTGGTCGCATATTCGTGTTTCATTTACCGCCGGATCGTGGCTCCCCCACGCTGTGTCGGTCACGGGGATTGTTCGACCGTACTTCAACACGCTTGTCCGTGTTGGTTGGTGATGTATGGGGGGGGGTGGAGGGTTACCCGGTTCCGAGTTCACTGCACTTGACGGAATTCAACGAGCAGTAATCGAGGTTGATTGACAGTCCAGCGATCACTCGCCTCCTGATCGCTCTTCCATCGCTACTACCATGGGTACCGTCCCCATTAGTTTCAACTCCATTCATTCCCCCCCCCCCATCCATGTTGAGGTCTAATCGACGGTCTGCTCTGTGTCGTCTCATCCACACTGTGCGTTCAATCACCACCACCACCTTACAACATCACACCCACTCACTCACCCTCTCACCCACTCACCCACCAACCCACTCATCCATTCTGTGTGTTCAACCACCACCACCACCACCACCTTGCAACATCACACCCACTCACTCACCCTCTCACCCACTCACCCACACACCCACTCATCCATTCTGTGTGTTCAACCACCACCACCACCTTGCAACATCACACCCACTCACTCACCCTCTCACCAACTCACCCACCAACCCACTCATCCATGCTGTGTGTTCAACCACCACCACCACCACACAAAATCCCACTCACCCACTCACTGACTCGTCTACTCACTCAACCACTCGTTCACCCACAATGCATATATTATTATAGCACGTTCCTTTGCATGTTTTGCCAAAAGTACGTGTGGTTAATGTAGACTTGATGCCTTACAAAAAAAGTTTTTATTTGGTGAGCGAAAACATCTTAATGCCACCTGTTTTATTGTCATTTAGGGTAAAACCTATTCTTATTTTTTCAACATAACACTCACTCAACTATTCATGTACTCACCCACCCTCTCACCCACCAACCCACTCATCCACAGTGTTTAACCACCACGACCACCACACAGCAGGTCACAACATTACACTTGCTCGCTCACCGATTCGCCCACTCACTCATCCACTCACTCATCCACTCATGCACTCACCCATATTATTACACACTCATTCACTACACTGCAGGTCACGACTATTTCCTTTCTCCTTCGTTAGCTCGCACTGCTCCACTGTGGAATTCCACCCCATTGCCTCTTCCCCCCCCAAATTCGTATAACCTTGCTCAGTTTAACACAGAACGTGTCAACTCTTGCATAACCCAACGTTCAGTAATCCGGCCTGGTGGCTCAGTGGTAGAGCGAGTGGCTCACAATCGGAAGGACCCCTCGGGGGAAAGGGAGGGGGGTGGGTCGATATAATACGGGACCAATTTTGTGGGGAATTTACAGTGGGGTTGCCCTATGGATAGACTCACCCCTGCCATATGAATGTGGAATCTCCAGGACTGTAAACGAGAAATGTGCACCGCTGCACTCAACACTCATTTGAGCCAAAACAAAACAAACAAAAAAAATCCCCCACTCTTGACTTCGAAGCCAACTTTCGTCGTGCTGTTAGTTGCTGCCTGCTTGGCATCTGCGGGTGGCATTTACCCTTTGTGACCTTGGGTCTCAAAAAAAAAAAGAAACCCGAGTCCAACCCACGATTTTAATTTCACCTGCGCTCTGCCCGCACCGCGTGCGCCCTCACAGGATGACCTGTTCGGGGAGCTGTCGAACCTCACCCACCTCTTCCTGCACGGCAACAAGCTGCTGAGTCTCTCCGACAACGTCTTCCGGGGGCTGCACAGCCTCGACAAGCTGCTGCTGCACCACAACAGGCTGCGGGCAATCCGCCGTCGCATCTTTCGCGGCCTCTCGGCCCTCTCCACCCTCTACCTGTTCAACAACGAGCTCACCGAGCTTTCGGGCCACGCCATGGGTGACCTGTCGGGCCTCCAGTACCTGCGGCTCAACAACAACACGTGGGCCTGCGACTGCCGCCTCTTCTCGCTCTGGGAGTGGTTCAAGCGCTTCCGCGGATCGAGCACGGAGGTCGTCTGCCACTCGCCCTCGAACCTCGTCAACCGCAACCTCAGGTCGCTGGCGGAGAACACGTTCATGTCGTGCAACCTCGGCCCCACCTCGTCGACCTTCTACGCCGTCGCCACTCACCCGTTCCGCCCGGACAAGGCGTCGGGAACCCGCGCCCCGAAGACGCCGGCGGCGCCCGGGATAGGAGTCGGAGGAGGAGTCGGAGGAGGCGGGGATGCCAAGACGTCGGCCGTGGCAATCTCGCCGATCGTCAAGGTGCCGACGAGACGGAAGTGCCGCAAGCACACGGCGGCGCGCGCCCGCGCGAACGCCGCCGGGCAGGGCTACCTCGACGGCAAGCAGGAGCGCGACGGCGCCGCCGGCGAGCTGCCGCACCTCGACACCTACTTCAAGGAGCTGGACGACGACGTCGGCGGCGGCGGCACGCAGCCCGCCAGCCCCAAGTGCAGCCGGAACAAGAAGGAGGGGGCCGACCTCCAGCACGGAGGGCAGGCGGCGGGAGGGGGCGCGGCCGGGCGCGTCCACGGGCGGCCCGGCGCGGGGTTCGACGCCGTCGCCAGGTGCGCGCTGGGCCCCGTGGCGGCGGTCGCGTTCGTCCGCCTGGCGCGCGGGCCCCTCGTCTAGACGGGGGGGTGGGGAGAAGGGGGGGGGGGGCCGACGAACTGAAGTGACAGGCGGCGGAAGAGTTTGATGGGAGGGGGGATGGGGGTGGCTGTGGTAGGTTCGGGTCGGGAGGAATGACAAACACTTGTGACGCGGGGTGAATGAATGAATGGATTCGTTGGTGGGGAGGGGTGGGGGTGGGTGCGTGAAGATAAGCTTTGATATCTAGTATCGATTCAGATGTATTGCTTGAAGTTGCAGTATATATAAATAATATATAAGGATTAACGAAAAAAATCAAATCTATCGGAGATCTACATTAAGGATCCTTGCACTGGTGAGATGTCGTGTCCATAATTTACAACGGGGGGAACGCTTTCGTGAGTGCAGTTTTTACCGATACAAAAGTGATTGTTTTGGTGTTTTGGCTATAACAATGTAAACAATACGAGGCATATGTGTTCAGGCTGCGGCGATAATGCAACACGTTTACAGACGTATCACATCCATCCAAGAATAGTCGGCTCGGGGAAGGGTGTGAATTGGCAACAGATCTTCCGGAGGGGAGGAGGGGGCTGGGGGTGGGGGTGTGTGGAGGAGAGTGGGGGAAGATGAGAGGGAGGCAGAGAAGAGGGGAGATGGAGGTGGAGGAGAGGAGAGGCGAGGAGGGAGGAACAGGAGAGGGAGGCGGAGAAAATATGGGGGCGGGGGGGGGTACCACAGCTTGATAATTCAGGGCCGTCTTGAAATTGCCAGATTCTCCGTTGGGTAATTGGACCTCCGCTTCTTATCCCCCCCACCCCAAGCCGGAGGGAGGGAGGGAGAGAGGTGAGGGTGCGGGAGTGGGGGGTGGGGGATGAGTTTGTGCAATCGTGGGGGGACAAGCTTTAACTTGGACACGTCTGTGAAATCAAATTAAATGCCAACGACGTCGCCCGCAAGACCTTCCCGGCCTGCCGCCCGTCGCCTGCTGGACGCGCCTCGCGCGCTTGGGGCACGGCGGCTCCACGCAACCCGCAGCTCGGGGGGGGGGGGGGGGGGCCTCTCCGCTCAAAGTTTACGATCACGAACGAGGGCGGAGACGCGACGATTCGCGCCCGCGGAGCTTCGTAAAGACTTCCACACTTTGGGGGGGGGGGGGGGGGGAAAGTTTTACAGCGTCATTACTGTTACTACTGCTGCTGCCACGCAACAAAAACAACAACAAAGACTTAGTTCGTGACATCTGCCGTTCCCCATCGAAGCGGAATAATGACAATAATATCATAAATAATCTTCTCCCCCGGGGTGCACGTGGAGGTGATCGCGCCACGTGTTCGGTCAATCCGCGCAAGCCGCCGCGAGAAAGCGGTTGGGACGGTGGTGGCCGTGCTGATCTGTCGGCGAAACAAAATTAAACCCACAACAACAACAACAACAAACAACAAACACACACAAAAAAAACTAAATTTAAACAACTTCGACGTAGGACAAAGAGAATTGTGGCCGACTGAAAGGGGTCGTGTTGCCGAAGCGAAACGAAAACGGATGGGGCGGCAAAAAAACCAAAACGGAAACTCCCGACGACACGAACGGACAGCACCAAAACAATCGACGCGACTTTCTTGAAGCCTGCTTTAACCCTTATCATCATCATCATCATCGTTATTTTGATATATTTTTTATCACTACTACTTACTCGTAGCGCTCGAATAACGTCAAATAATTGTTAATTGATTTCCCATTTGCGAACCCTCTTTTTTGCAGTTTAACAGACAAAACGAAGAGGCCAGGTCGCCTTGCTCGCTAACTCGCTCGGCTCGCTCCCTCCACTCATCCCCCGACGACTGGAAATCTCCCGGCTCGGGACGCCAAGGGGGTACAATAGACGGAGGTGACGTTAAAGAGGGCACGGGCGTGCGCTTCCTCCCCTCCGCTTGTCTCCAGCCTGCACGCGCGTGGTTCTTGCCCCACCTCTTCGTCGCGATTGGGGTGTTTCCGTTTTTTATCGATTACTTTCTTTCATTAAAAAAAAACCCGGTGTGTTACGGCCGAAAGCGTTGGATTTGAGCGACGAGGGCAATTCGAACCAACAAACCATGCAGTATCTGGTCACCAAAATAACAATAATAACAATGCTATAAAATAAAATCGTTATTTTTTGCAGCCGCTAATTTTTCTCTCGGGGAAGGGCGGTCGGCTCCTGGGACCATCGCAGTGCCGGTAAACGCGCAACGTTGACCCAACGTTGGCGTTCGGTTGGAACCATTTCCCCCCTACCCCCTGACGTTGACCCAACGTTGGTGTTCGGTTGGAACCGTTTGGCCTGCCGTTGGCTCCCAACGTTGGCATATCGATTTGGAACCATTTTTGCCGAACGTTGCCATTTAATTGGAACCGTTTTCGCCCTCTCCCCCGAACGTTTACCCATCGTTGGCGTTTGGTTGGAACCGTTTCCCCCCTCCCCCCACTAACGTTGACTCAACGTTGGCGTTTGGTTGGAACCGTTTCCCCCCTCCCCCCCTAACGTTGACCCATCGTTAGCGTTTGGTTGGAATCGTTTCCCCCCTCCCCCCCTAACGTTGACCCATCGTTAGCGTTTGGTCGGAACCGTTTCCCTCCTTCCCCCCCCTAACGTTGACCCAACGTTGGCGTTTGGTTGGAAACGCTCGCGCGCAACGTCGGCCCAACGTCGGCCCAACAACGGTTCTCCACTGTTTTATTTTCTACTCTGGGAGGGAACAGCGCGTAGCGACGCGGCGTGACGTTGCATCCCCCAACGACCGCGACGTCTCGGGACGTCCGTCTTCTCCTTTCATTGCACATTCACCACCATCGATATGCAGGAATCATCCCACGGCAAAACAACAAAACAAAGCAAAGCAAGATTCAGGTGGTTTTTTTTGTTTGTTTTGTTCAATTTACAACAACTTGAGAGAGAGAGGGAGAGAGAGATACATTTTAAGCGGTGGAGTTACCTGCATTGAATATTTCTGTACAATTGTGATATAGACAAAGAGGTCACAACAATGCAGTCTTAGAGCATTTCCGCATTCTTATTTGGCATGTCTCGCGCTTGTATTTTGCTTTGTTGTCGTAACCCATGTACCGATATTTCTTTTTCGATGAATGTTATTTCAACAAATATGTATACATTAAATAACTTTAGTGAGACATAACACGTGCTTGTGTTTATGTATGTACGCATATTATCCTGTATAGCTCATCGTTGACAAAGGCTGGTGGTGAATTCCAATAATAATAATATATTGCAACGACTGACAATTGATTGGCATGTTTGGATTTAAATCTGTAAGAGAAGAGCATGGTTTATTTTTTTGACGGCATTTATACACGTATAGCTAGCTATCCTATGTCATGTCCCGGTGCGGCAGTTTAAACGATCGGAAAGTTAATTAAATCCACCATCATCCATCGAGCAGTGTAAAGCTTGTGCAAGTGCAGTCAGTCGATCGGCATCACGCGTGTGGTGGTGGGGTAAAGTGTGGGAGCTCCCCATCCCTTCTAAGACGTCTGGGCAAGCGTGGAAGAGGAGGCCTGCAGATGTGGAGGCCTTTGTCGCCAGCAGCGGGCGTTAGCGCCGCACTTGCAGGGCTGCGCTTTTGCCTCTTGTGTGTATGTTTGAACTTCTTTCGCACCGCACCTAGCCAACCGTGCTAAATCGGAGGTGCAGCTCTGCAGGACAAGATGTCTCCCAAGACAGCCGCGGGAATGGTGACATCAAATCCAACGTAGCACACTTTGATATTGACACTGTACGTCCAGCCCTTAATTTCAGCTGGAGCTATCCGGGGCTGAGCTTCAGAAAATATTTTACAGCCACTCTGCCTCTGCCATCGGGGGAGGGGGATGAGAGCTTTGTGGCGGTGGGGGGGGGGTGTGCAGAAAATATTCCATGATAGATTAAGCCCCATGCATATACGGTACAAAGATCCCCCTATAGCCTTAACAGACCGTTGGAGCAAGTGCTGTTAGCGAGCACCTATGAAGGCCGACACGATACACGAGGGGGTGGGTGGCCAACACCACGCCCGACCGCCTTTGTCTCCCCATTGGCGATGTTTTAAAACACAGCACCAGGTGCTCATTTGAGGCTGAGTCGACCTAGGGGAGGGTCCTGGACCGGTTCAGATATTAGCCACTGGCGTTGGCCGCGAGCGGGAATCGAACTCGGGTTGCCGGCTTCGTAGCGCAGCGCGCTAATCCCTACACGGCCGCTCCCCACCCGCACACACGCACATACACACACACATATATGTATTATTCAGTGTATGTATATCTAACAGCTGAATGTTTAATGCCCCCCCGTGTGTGTGTGTGTGCATGAAGAGCAGCTCTCAATCCCATACAGTGAGGCTGATAAACCGGGATTTAGCTGAAGGGACATTTGCCCGGGCTCTACTATAAGTCTCAATCCCAGGCAGCTGTCTCCCAAAGTCCATCGCTCTCCATCAGAATTACGGGCCACACGCTGGCAGGGCATTCTAATGCTAGGGAGGGGGTGGGCGGGAAGGCGGGGGGGGGGCAGGGTGAGCGGGCGGGGCTGTGGGTGGAGGGGGGGTAGAAATTCTGAGAAAACAAGAGAAAAAACTGGAGGCCGAATGGTCAATTGTCATGTATATTGCTACGTGAACTCCTCGACTCTGGTATTCGCACCTGATAGGCTCACATTGATGACGACGTCACCTTTGCTCCTCTATTTAAGACCGAAACAGGATGACTTCATTCAAAATATTTGGTAACTCGCCTGATGACGCTGGTTGCAATCACCAGCGAACACGTCGCACTCAAATTGTAAATGTTGTGGGTTTGCTCTCCAACAGACAACTGGTGTGCCGAAGTCGTAACATATTGGCACGTTTTGTTGACGTGACAGACCTTACAAATTGGCTGTGTCAGGTGGTGGCGGATTAACGACACATTTATATTTACGCGATCTAACCCTAGAAAAAGCCCCTGAATCTACAATATATCGTGGCGGATGCTGCCACGGTGGTGTACACAGGGAATCCTCTACTTAC